CGGTTTCCCGGCGAGGGGGAGAGGGGGACCTCGGGGGGGTGACTGAAAACCAAGCCCCTCCTGCACGGGCGATGGAGGATTGGGTGCTGCCGCGCCGCCCAGGGTAGCACGTCACTGCCTCCCCGTCACGCTGCTCTGTTGACGCTCAGCGTTCAGGCCACCGTTATCCTTAGCTTTTTTAATTCACAGAAATAACAGCACGGAGGGCTCTCTTCGGTTTAACCCGATGCTTTTCCTCCCCCAGCCCTTTACCTGGAGCTAAAGGTGACCGAACCGCCGGGTGGGCTCCCCGCCTTCAAACCAGGCGTTTACTTCCGTCACCCGAAGCAGCCAAGCTGCCGCGCACCGCACGAGGCGCCGGGCGCCCCAGCGCCCCTTGGGCGGCGGCCACCGAGCCTCGCGCGGGAGCGGTGCACAGGAACGCAGGTGCCCGGAAACACAGGCCGGGCGCAGGGCCCCGCACGGCCAAGCCCAGGTACGCGCCGCGGGCTGGCGGCGTTCAGAAAACCCCGGGTTTAACGAGGAATTCCAAACCGGCTACACGGAAGCGGGTTGTACTCCGCCAAGAAGTAGAAAAAAAATGCATAATTCATGGCTGGGAAAAAAAGAAAGGGCCCTACGGCACTGACGGTTCTTTCATTATTTCAGGAACAGAAACCACAAAACAAATGGCTGTATGTAAGCTAGTGCAGCTGTCTTTGGTATTATACAGTTAAACTAAAGGGTTTCAGAAACTATGAATAGGAAAATATATAACGAGCAAAAAATTAAAGCTTTGTCATTTAAATATCGCAGAGGCAGCATATGCTTTCTCATTACATTCTTTGTTAAAGGACTAGTAGACTAGGCGGTAGGTAATAACCCCAGGTGTCCCGTGATGATAAAACGACAATCCTCACCCCCGGAATACCCTGTAAGGACATTTGGTACAGAGACATACTTTTATTCCCATTCTTGCCTAAGTGCTTGTCCAGGTATTATCCAAAAAAAACCTGACTAGTCAGGATGCTTAGCAACACCTGGAACAGGCTGCCAGAGACTCCTTTCATCTCTAGGGAATGCATCAGGACATTAAATGGATGAAGCTGGAAGGAAAGGGAAGGGAGGAAAAAAAAAAAAAAAAAAAAGAGGGAGGATGGGAGGGAAAAGGGGGAAGGGAGCTAAAGATGTGCCCCAGCCTCATCAGAAACAAAATTAACTTCTTCCTTTCCTATGAGACGTCACTGCCCGACTTGCAGCCTGGTGGCCACAAAAAGTGAAGGGCAATGGGGACTACGAGGACAGAGGAAGCGGGATGGTTTTGTGCCAGCAAGAAGTGAGAGACCTCCGCCCTCAGGCGCGCAGGGCAAGAGAGTTGTTGTAAGTGGCAGTTGCTGCACACGGCTCTGTTATTCTCTTCAAGCCTGAGATGCAGACCACAGCAGCGGCTTCAGGCACAGCTGAAAGAGGCAATTAGTGCAAGAAGAGCAGCCCTATCCTAAAGAAACAGAACATTGTTGTGTAACGGCAGCTCTTCCGCCAAGACATCTCCTTCTTAGGGAGAGCAAAATCGGCCACAGAATAAAATGCTGGAAGTTTTGTTGTGGCGGATGAAGAAGAGGAAGGGATGGTCAGCAGTGAATTCTGGAACGATCATTGCACAGCGCATCATCATCACTCCTGCCGTGGCGGATGCCACTTCAGTGCCTTCTTCGTTGACTTCCACGATGGACTTGTGCACTACTTCAGAGAGCACCAGCTCGTTGCCAGCTGAGATGCCCGAGAAGTCTGCCTGCCCTAAGTCAAATGCGTCAGGCATTCCCATGCTGCTCAGAATGGGTTTCAGATCATAATCTTCTTCCAGTTTAAATTTGGGTAAAGACACCCTCACCTCTGTAGAGTCCATCATTTCAGGATTGATCCAATCTATCAGCTTCTCATATGTAAGTTCTCTTTCCAGCTAAAGAAAAACCCAAAAGTTACATAATTAAAATGAGAGTCAGTTTTACACAGCCAAAAGTGGTGATTACTGTGTTTGTTTACATAGTGCATAATATGCATCTTTTTCCCAGGGTTTAGAGGGTCTCAAGCCAAAAGCACAAGTTATACTTCTCACTAGAGACTACAGCCCCAGCTGAGATCAAGCCCACGTGCTTTTTGGTAGATACAATACGGATCAGTCCCTTCCACATAAAGTTTGCTTTTATAAAGCATGTGAGATAGGGGGTTTTTGGGTTTTTTGTTTTTTTTTTTTTTTTTTTTTTTTTTTTTTTTTTTTTTATTTACATATTGGAAGCAAAGGCATGGAACTGATGACAAGGTCCCTAAGGAACTGAACCCAGTTCTTCTGTCTCTTAACCACAGGATCCTCCTTCAGGTTGACAGGCTGATGAAAAAGTCTGCTCACAATGCCCTTTGCAGTCAGTGTTAGAAAGCCTTATCTATAAATTCCTTGTCCAGAGCACGGAATAGCCAAAATTTGTATCATATCTCCACAACAGAAGAGATCCTACGCTTTCCTGTGAGCCTGTTTCCAGGTGGCAGGCCAGAGACAATCTGCCAGCTGTTCAGAACAAAAGATGACCTACAGGACAAGCTATAGGACTTCCTAAGAGCTCCCCCAAATCCCCTCTCACCACATACAATGCTCACCGTACTATGCCTTCACCATAACCACACCTAACCTCTGCTCCTGAGGAGGGCCAGGTCTTCCAGAGCCTCTGGCCAAGGGGGCAGCACACAGCTCGACCAGCGGTGACACAAGGCATGCCGATCGCTTTGGCGGCAGGCAGGTGTGGGACACTTCAGCTGGTGTCAAGCACCAGTGACGCAATAGCTTTGGCATTGAACTGCAGGTCTATATGCAGTATCAAGCTCTCTCTCCTGGAGGGATACAGACTGTCTTTGCATTTAGCTGAACAACTTACACTTTCCAAGCCAGTGGATCCATCCTGGATTGCATCAGGGAGCAGGATGATCATGCTGAGTTCGTTACCAACATAAGGGAGCTCAAGGATTTTGGTCTGGAAGTCCCCAATATAGGTCATGTTAAATCTGTCCTTCTTGATCATCATCTGCACAGGTTTGGTCTCCTCCTAAAAATAAAGAGATGTCAACAGTTAGACTGAGTTAGTATGCTGGTCTTGAAATATGAAGCAAGCATCCAGTTACACAGGGCTTTAGAATTTGACTAAAGAGAACTAAACACACCACAGAGTACAGTCCCACCACTGTCTTTTGTAAAGCAAGAGATAAGTAGTAAGGATCCCCGAGATTTAATTACTAATGTGGAAATGTCTGTGAAGTTTCCTTTAAGGCAAAGGGGCAGGGACACACAAATTTGCTCACTCAAGAACTAGTGACAAGCACTAAACAAAGCCGGTAAGAAGCAGGGCCTGTGTTCCTTGCTTTAAATGAATACGAAGTAATGTCAATGTAAGTATTTTCATTTTTAGTCCATGTGGCTCCAAGTGCTATAAACAAAGGAGAATTAAAATATTTTAAAACGATACTAAAAATGCCAAGAAAGTGGGAGTATTATTTTGAATTCTTAAAAGTCGTAGAGGTAATAAGGAGGGGAAAGATTTTTCTTCTCAGTTTCATTCTCTGCTATCTCCTTCCATTTTCACAGTCGCTACTGCTCCATATTGTTTAAATCATTATTTTCTCCTCTTCAGTTAAGAGTTTCCTTGCTTTCTCCCTTACCTTCTGAGATAACCATGCAAGTAGTTTTTTGGTTTTAAAATAAAGCCCATTGTTTCAATGCCCACAGAGCACATGGCAGAAATTACCTTGCAGCAGCCATGACACATGAAAAGGATGGAGAAGCAAAGAAAAGGCCACACAGCATGTGAAAGTCATCCAGTGAGTCACAGAAAGCGCAAGAGTCAGAAATAATGTCACAGGATGCTGGAAAGACTCCTGGGATGTTAACGTAAATCTCTGCTACTGGACAGATTGTAAAATAACTGGCTTAAAACTTCAGGTTACACCTGGTATTTCCAATTGCTCATTTGAGCCTACTCACAGACTTCTGCAGCTAATCAGCAGCTAGTCATTAGTAGGATGAAAATACAAACCTAAGCCATTTAGTTTTACAAGGAAAGAGACGTGCAGTTGTTTGCATATCTAAAAGTGAGTTCCTTGGCTGAGCCAAGGCAGCATTCCCCAAACTTACATCTTACAGCTTTCTCTCATAGTTACCTGGATCTCAAAGACTCTGATCTTAAAATAATAGTAATTGACTGAAGAAGACTTATATACAGAAGTTTCTGCACATGTAGAACTGCTCTTTTCTGCCTACAACCTAAGGGAACGTTTCTTTTCTTGTCCACACCAGTTTTACGCTAAAATAATCAAGTTCACTGACTTCTGTGAAATTATTCACAACTCTCAAATAGCCCGACAGCTTCACTCAACTGTTTTCTTCTCCTTGGTTCTGTTTTAAGCTCTGTAACTATGTAGAGGGCTGCCTCTGTCAAACAAGAAAGGTACAGGAAAAAAGAAGAGACAATGAAAGAAATACTTAATTGTTATATTAAAGTTTCTAGTAATTATGTGAAACTTAACAGAAACTAAACGAAGAGAGTGTTCATATTAAAGGGAGAGAGTACAAGGAATTTCATACAGCCTACTGAACGTAACCCTGCTTGAATGGTTTCTTTTTTCCTGCAGAGTTAAACGTATTCATTTCAGAGTACTTCAGAGTAACAGTTGTCAGCATTTTAGCACATCATACCTTGTTAATTTGAAATGGCATTTCTGTTGTTGACTCTTTGTTGAACTGCTTTTCCCAGTTGCCTTTGAAATAGATGGCATTCACCAACACAAGTCTCGTCAGTGAATTAAGAATCCCCTCCACCAACAGGTTCCGAATTTTACCTTTATGATACATAGGGGAAAAAAAACCGCAAACAGTTTTTAACAGTTTGACATTATCTAATATAGTATCTACTCTATAATTCATACACAGTAGATAAGAGAATCATACACCAAACAGCAAGAGCTCAATGTTTCGATTTTTTTTACTTCACAATATTCTATTTTGAAATAGCTGTTTACCCAAGCCTTAGCTGCTATTAAATACAACGGGGTATTCTGCAAAACACTCACCTTCAGTCCTTTCCTCTACCCAGCCATTTATTTGTCTTCTGGAATCCTCATAAGCGTTCATGAAGTCAGTCTGTTCTAGTCCAGCATGGTAGAATTTCTGACTCAACTCTATAAATGACTAACACGGACATTCAGAACAGCTTTTCAGCAATATATTTTACTGTAATTCAGCCACAGATTATTCTTAAAATACACCAAGAAAATCTGCTCACTTCCCTCCCCCAGCTTCATACAGAGCCATTAAAGTTTTGTCTGACACGTTCCTATTAGGTTTTATATCACCTATTTGAACTAGAAATTGTCCACTGTATGTTATTAAGTCAAATGGCTTGCTTACTATGCTAGAAAGTTCTACATAACTTAATTGAGAAATGACATGGCCAGTTTTGGGGGGTTTTTGCTTCAGTGAGAGAACATAGGATTTTGTAAGCTTCCCTCTACATAAATTTCATTGTTAAACCTCCCAGACTAATAGAAAACTTTTAGTTCAGAGGGGAAGTGATTTTTCTTTGAGAGAAAAACATAGCTTCTCTCTGATTTAATAAGAGTTAGATATTTATTACACAGATACAAAGTTTTAGAGTACAATCCATGTAATTTTAATCTATTAGACAAATGAAACACTAGCGTTCTTCATAAAAAGAAACACTGTAAATCATTCCGGGGGGTGGGGGGAAGCCTTACATCTTCTTGCTTCTCGGTAAGCATCTAAGGAAACATGTATAACAATACCTATTATCCTTATTTAGATCTTATGATAAGGAAAATCTTAAAAGTAAAGTACTCCTCTCGGTATGTTCTCTGAATGACTTCCATAACAGAAAAACTACAAAATACTGCCCACGCTGAAGAGCAATAACAATTCTTTTTTATCACACTTACACACATTCAAGGGAAAAGAGATCTGTCAACCACTTGTCCCACAACCAAAAATATGAATGGATCCTAGAACCCTGAAGATTTAGAGTCTGATGGATTTTATAGTGCTTTGCACCAGTTGTGCATTCAGATCACAGGCTACCTCCACCAAGTTCAGATACTGGGCTTTGGCACAATCTATCACATTGGTAGGTCTCAGCCTAGAAAATTTGGAAAGTAAAACCCAAAGCCTGCCTTTGACCTCCAAAGGAAACCAGGTGCATTATACTAAAAAACCCCCACAAATTTAATGGTTACTTACTGAGAGAAACTCAAATGTCTTTTCTCCATAAAGTCGGTTAGCAGTTCTCAGTACGTATTTGGTGTTTGGATCGTTAATTTCAGAGAGAAGCGATTGATACCCGTTGTGAGCATCCTTGGCTTTGTTCAGAGAAAGTACCTGTAGAAAGTCAAACATCCTCAGCGGAGTCCATGCCTTCTCTAAACACACTTGCTTTAGCACAACTTTTTTTTTTTTTTTTTTTTTTTTTTTTTTTTTTTTACACTTTTGGGTTTAAGAACTGTGACTTGAAGCCAGAAGATTTTTCATCACACCTCCCACCAGATGATAATCTGGAGCTTATCATGCAAGTCCCATATGATGCACCCAGCCAGATGTTGTACAAGTAATAAAATTAGTGTGCAGAAGAGTCAGCCATATTTAGTTTCCCCTCACTCAAGCCAAGCATTAGAGGATCACAGAATGGTCAAGGTTCAAAGGGACCTCTGGAGGTCATCTGGTACAAGTCCCCTGCTCGAGCAGGGCCATCTACAGCTGGTAGCCCAGGACTATGTCCAGACAGATTTTGAATATCTCCAAGTATGGCAATAATATAATGTAATTTTAGAGAAACTTGTATAGATTTAAATGAAAACAGAATGTGTGTTTATACTCCTCTTCCACTTTGCAAAAGAGGCAAACATAGTAACAAAAATGACTGATTATGCATTTAATACTGTCAATTGCATATGTAAAAAATATGCTAAGTGGTATTTGCCACCTGAGAAAGTTAAAAAAAAAATATTAAAACAAAGTGCAGCTACCATTTTGACATGCATACAGGGTGGATTTTTAATTTATTTTTTATGTGCCTGGCTACATTTTCAAAACATATATAGTCTGATATTAAGCCCAAAGAAGATAAGAGGAAATATTTTATGTAGCTACAGATTCAAACCTACAAAAAAATCCTAGGTACCTCTTAATGACATATTGAAGGAAAATTTGTCTCAAAAAAACAAAACCACAAAAAAACCCACACAACATAAACCAGGAACCTCGTAATTTCATACCAAAGGAAGCTCTGCCTATAAAAACAGGTACTGCTTACACACATACCAAAGGAAAACCTCTGCTCTCTGAGACCAGAATGATAATAATAGTTTAGCATAAGTGCAGTTCACAGGTATAACACAGATTTGTTGTTCATATGGTCACAAATTCAATACACTAAGTTTATTTAGACCTACCTTTGCTATTTGGGCTTCGGTGTTACCTTTTGAACCCAGCAAAATCATAGACAAAGCAGAAGAAATACTAAAAGGAGAAAAGAATAGATTCTGCCCGCTTTTGGTCTCACACAGCTTTCTTAAGAGGTTGAGTGCAAAAGTGGTATTTGCTGCACAGATGCTATCCATGGTTCAGAGCCTGGGAGATAAAACACAAAACAAGAACGGCTCAAATTTATTTGAATACAAACTGAGAAGTTATTTCTGTCTTTTACATTTCCCAGTATGAACTACGCAGCAAGTGTCACAATTAGGCTGGAAAATTATCAGCTCACTGAAAAACTGATTTGGTGGGACAAGCACCTTATATGCCATACTCCGCACTTGAGTCATTTTAGGGATTTATTGTTTGCTTTTCTGTTTCAATCCCATACCTGTAACAGAGACAGCAATTCCCACTGGTGTCATTAGACTCTCCACTGGGTAAACAGTATTACATAGTTTGAGATTATCATATACAACAGTATTTTGTTCAGGATTTATTAAAAGAAGTCTCTTTTGACATCACAAAGACAATTATTCGCCTTCACAGGAAAACCAGAGCAAAAAGTGAGGCATCAGAATGGCAGAATTATAAACTCTTACCTTCTCTAAGTCTATGTATCTTCGGTATTACCTTCAGCTTACTTGTATGTGTGTACACTGTGTTTTAAACCTAACAGCCAGTCTGGTAGAAGTCAGCAGAATGACTTGACCTACAAGATTAAACAAGAAAAGAAAAAAAAGTTATTTGTTCAGCATGACAGATTACAGTAATTTCCTGTAAGAAGAAAGAAAAAAAAAAATCAAAGTCCATTTCAGTTCCATTTTATTGCCTACAACACAGAAACAGACACAATAAAAAAACCTGCTCATAGATAACTTTACAGTACTTTATTTACCCCTCAACATGCGTAACTTGATGCCTGTCATACTCTACATACATCAGCTGTGTAGGTAGTTAACTAACCTGAGATTAAACCATATACCTATCAACGGAATAATAAATACTACAATGCCGAGTTAACTACAGGTAAGTATCACCAGACATCCTAAGATATCAGCTGGTAGTAAAGGTTTCTGTGTTTTGTTTGTCCCTCAAGGCAGGGCCTAATGTTGACACGTTGCTACAAAATACAAAACCAACGCCTAATTCATATTACTAATTCATTATCTCAAACAAATAGGTGGAAAGAACAAGCTTCTGTATGCCTGATTTTCCACCCAAGAAAATTTCTTGCTAGCAGCTTTGCAGTAAACAGTAGTAACTTTTCACCTGTTTCTCTTCTCCCATAACT